GTTGCCTAAAAAATGTAGTTTTACCATCATCAAAAATAATTGCATTACCAAGTTTATTTGGACTAAATTGTTGCTTTGAATTTGAAACAGTTCACCATTTTTGAAAAATACTTAAAAAACCAGAAATGTCATTTCTTTCAGGAAAATAACTTTTAAAACTTGCAATTGTTGTTTCATCAAAAATCGACAGTGCAAGAGAAACATTTTGCTTTTTATTACCAGGGTGAAGAGTTTGATATGTAATTTTTGGAGCTTTTTTCAAATTACCTTGAAGTTGTTCATCTTTAGAATGTAGAAGATTAAAATCTCCCCAAGTTATATAACCAGCTGGACAATTATAGACATCATCTTTTATATTATAAGTAAATGATGGAAAGATAAATTTTTTGCAGTGTAATAAATTATTTTTGATATTTTTAACAATATGAAATTTACTATCATAAAATAAGTATATTTTAATATTTGGACTATCAGGATGATAAATAAATAAATTTGACTGATTACCAAATTTCAAATGAAGCAAATTAAATGCATTTACATTTGATTGATGATTGTCAGTAACAACTACTCGAATTTTAAAACCAGATAAAGAAAGAGAACTAATTAAATCTGATATTTGCTCTGAAAGCCATTTACCACTAATGGTAACTTCGGGTAATGCTTTTATGACATAAGAAATAGATTTCTTTAAACTAACAATCATAAATGCAACAACTCCTTTGTACAGAGTACCATTGTCATCTGCATCCACATAGACACTACTACAATATTGTGCCTGTTTCTGAAGATAAAACTCATCTACAATTAGTATTATATCTTCATGTATTGAACCCTTCTCACGAAGTGTCTTAACAGCCTTTATTGCATTAACTCCATCTTGTTTAATTTTATTTAATAAAGCAAATTGAAGGTAGTAGAAACAATTCAAGTAAAATTTCATATGCTTGTTTAGATGTATATCTTAATAATAAAGCATGTCTGATCATATCTGCAGAATATTGTGGTTGACCTTTTGCTTTATAGTATATTCTACTATTTATTTCCTCAAGAAGTATATTTCTATTAGAAGAAGCTATGTTTTTTATGTACGATGCAAGATTTTCTAACATACTCAAACTAGTTAACTTGCCATTATGACCTTTAGTTAACCATGGAGGGAGTGGAATATTATTTCCTTTGTATTGCAAAGCTACACATAAACAATGATCAATTTTTATTGATTCAAGAACAGAAGGAAAATGCGTTAAAGGATCAAATATTAAATTGTAATAAATAATACAATTGAGATGTTTTGAAAACCTTCTGGTGAATGTTTACTGTTTAACTTGCTCCATTCAGTTATTTTATCATTTTCAGAAAAAAAACTAAGTTCATCTTCTTGAAAAATATGAGTTTTAGGTGGTCTTCTTAAAGCAATAGGTGATGGTTAGATCTATTACATAATCATAGGTAAGATCTATTATATAATCATATATATATATATATATATATATATATATATATATATATATATATATATATATATATATATATATATATATATATATATATATATATATATATTAGGGTGATTCAGAATGAAAAAATTTTCAAAATAAAAATATGTCTCGTTAAATTTGATGCAAATATATAGAAAATAGGTTTTAAAGCATACCAGGCATTTTCTGACCCTCCCTCAAGGCTCATTTTTGTGAAAAAAATGTCAATTTTTTGGTCAAAAGTTGCTGATTTCAGTGACGTTGATAGAGGGTCTAATATAAACCAATTAGGTTGAATTTAAAAAATAAGGTCCTTGACTACATATATTTTGCATTTAAAATCATACGTATTTTTGTTTTGGTTTTAATTCGGAGCATTTTTTATTTAAATTATCCATAAATTCACAAAATTAGTGAGTTTGTTGTGGTACTAAGAAAGCATTTGGAGTATACAAATGCATTTTTTCTAATATAACAGGACCATTGAACCGGCCTCTAGGGGCAAGGAGGGGGAAAGGGGCAAGCCCCTTCCCCCCTCCTTCCCAGATGTCGACAGCCATGTGTAACAAAAATATTTTTTAGTTAATAATATTGTTAATTGCTTGTTACTTTAATTAGTAATGTATTTGCCTTACCTCTCCCCTCACCCTTCCCTACCCCGGGTCCCTCCTCATTTTTTTACTAATTAAAAAGTGATTCAAGTTTTTATGCCAAAACCAGTTTTTAAGTTACTCACGCCAATTATGACAAAAACTATTTATCTTACAAAAAATCCTATAAAAGAAAAAATAAAGTTTTCTAATCACTTTTGAGTTTCTTGAAATTATTAATGTTATTTAAATCTATTTCCATATTCCTTTTTGTCATCTTGCTGGAGCTTTTTTCAGGTTTTTTCATGGCATAATGAACTTTGTCTATGGTTACCATTCTCATTTGTTTTTCTTCTTCACTAATGTATCTATGGATAAATTCCTGCATCATGCCTACATTTCTTTCTGCATGATCGTTTACTATAATCAAAGTTTTTGCATAGGCTAAAAACTGGTTGTAATATGATTGAGTGTGCCATAAAGATGGTGGAAGTGACAACCAAACGCGTATTTTCTCTTCTGTAAACCCATTTACTGCAAAAATAAAGTTGGAAAACTCGTTAACTAACACCGTCAAATTTGGTGGATTACTAGCCGTTATGCTATCTAGGTTGATTATCTCTTTGATATCCAATTTTGGCTTATTTTCAATTTTGTAATCAGATGCCTTTAAAGATGGCATTTTGTAAGATAAAATTGATTTGGTGATTAGTTTTTTATCTTCATCAGGAGCTTTATAATCTAGAAGCAAAAGAGGTATCAAAGTTGAGTCTAAGTACCAAGAGTGTTTTAATATTGAGTCAATGACTTTATCTACAGCTTCTTTTACTCGGAAAACATCATTATACAGTCGATTGATGTAGAGCTGTAATATCAAGGTATGGGGCTTTAATAGGATTGTGGCTTTGTAAGTACCATGGAGCATAAAAACAACAAATAAACTCCACAATTTGTTCTACTTCAGCTTTTACGTCTTCCTCTTTTATCAAAAAATCTAGTTGTTTAGATAGCAGATGTAACTTTGTATAATAAAGAGCTGAGCTAAGAAATCTTGAATGGTGAACTACACTTGGTTTTTTATTTTAACAATTCCCAATTTCGATAAATAAATAATAACAAGCTCTGCTAGTTCTTTTCTGTCTTTCCTAGCAATATTTTTCTTTTTAATGTTTTTGCAATATTTGGTTGCATCTGTTGCTGCTTTTTCGACTACAGTACTAGCCTTTAATGACCAGTCAAACCTTAATATGTTTTCAGGTTTGTAATGAAACTCTGGATTGTCAAACTTATTTTTTAATCTTTTAAAAAAAAGATTTTCTGGTCCTACCTTTTCTTCATGAGTAACATGTTTCTAAAAATGACTTATTCTAAGCTCTGTAACATGGTGCCAGCAGAGGATGTACTTACCTAAATCATGGGTAATTCTATTAATGGTCCCTTTCGTAATGCTAGTATTTGTTGCTGCTGTGTCAAAGCACAATCCATCAACATTTGATTTATTACCATATTCATCTAGCAACTGCATTATTCCTTTAAATTGATCGTCTCCTGAAGAGGATGGTAAAGAAGGAACACCGAACAAGTGTGATTTGCCAATAATATTTACTAGTACATCTAGTCGCTCGCATTTTAGTTTCTTTCCCTTAATTGTCTCAAATATACTTTTTCCATTTAAATGAATTATACATGGGAATGTAGATAAACGTACTTTTGTTTTAATATCTTCTTTATCAATATTTGAAATTTCTTTATTTTCTCTTTTCATTCTTCTAACTGCAGTTGAGAGACTGCAGTTGACAGAACCATAGGAGAGATGTTATTAACAGGTGCCATTAAAACAACATTTCCGGAATAAATATTTTTAGGAATGTTGGCGCGAATATTTGTACTGATTGGTTTATTTTTTCATTTTATCCATTCGCCTGGCTCGAAGTCAGAATCAGAAAAGTTATCTGAACTTATTTCATCATTACTGCTAACGTCTTCTTCGTGAAGTTTTAAGATTTTACTCAGGGATCCATTTTTCATTGCATTATTACACTTCTTTATATTTAATGATTTTACCTTATTTTATAAATAAATTTATTAGTTATAAGTTGTTAGAGTGACAAAAACACAAAGTTAGAGCGTATCTAATAAATTTAACAAACTATAAAGAGTATATTATTTAAAAACTAAAAGTGTGGATGAGAATCAACATCGTGTAAGTCCAAAAACAAAATAAAGTTAGTTAAATCAATATTTTTTATACTAATGCTTCATTCCATATAGTTAAATAACTGAATACTTCATCTACCTTGAAAGCATCATTTAATTAAAATCTGACACAAAAGTGCCTAAACATTAAAAAAAATTAAATTTGCACTATGCAAATTCTCACAACTCTTTCTTTTTTTAATAAATTAGAATATTTTTGCTCAAGATTTTTTAAACTTTTTCAAATATTTACGTCGCTAATAACTGGAAACCCTGCTTTAATCCATAGATGTTTTTTTTTTTGCCATGATACATTCACATTCAACTAGTTGAAACCTATCAACCTTTAAGTTTGACTTTGGAGGACAATATAGAATATCCAACTTTTTTGTAATTCCATTTGGCAAATTTGATTGTCAATATTTGAACTGATGCAAGATATCTATACCCGTTGGAAGTTAAATTCCTAAACCATAGGAATATTGATAATACTATTTTAATAAAAACCAGGTTTTTATTAAAATAGTATTACCAATATTATATAAATAGTATAAATATAGGCGCATTATTTATCTTACAGAGTATAATAGTGTGATGGATTGGTGTCGATATTGAGATGAAATTTTTTTTTTAATTATAAAAAATATAAGGTATTAATTTAAAATATGATTTAAATATGTAAATAGTAAAATTTTGAACATTTTTTCAAGACTTTCCAAAATCCTTGTTTTTTTAGAGATGTGAAAGAAATTGTTTTAACTATGAAAGAGCCTTCACTTAATGTTTCTAATTTACAACTGACATTTGTTGAATCTCCAGGATATTTTGATGATAAAGATGACAAGCAAGATGAAATAAATTATAACTCTTTAAAAGAGTATAAGCAAAAAAATTTTCCTGATTGTTATCCCAACCTTATATTTATTGTAATTCAAGGTTCTGATAATCGGTTTTTAAATGGTCCATTAAAAAAGTTTCTTGAAAAGCTCAAAAAACTTGATATAATTTGTCCATCATATCCTAATGTTATTTGCCTTTTTACTTACGCATCATGTTTTTTAAATGATTCCGAAGAAAATATTGAGAAAAAAAAAGAAATGTTAATTGACTTATGCTACGAATACCTAAGGGTAACAGTATCTGTGGTTTATATTGAAAATGATTGTAAAGATTTGAAAATGCAAGGAGACTGGACTGTACTGCCAGATGGTACTCTTCAGCCTTTAAATGTATTTGAGTGTGCAAAAAAATTAATGAAAGGTAATTTCTACAAACCAGAAGGACAAAAGTATATTGATCCTCTTGGTATGAAAACATTAGCAAGTTTTTTCAAAGCAGTTTCAAATGGCGATACAATTAAAGTTAATGTTAATAGTGTTTATAATGGAATTAACAACGAAATAGTAAGTGCACATTTGATTTTTTCATATATTTACAAATACTCTAATTTAATGTATTGCGGATTTTTCTTTTGAATCTCGTTTTTTACTCAATTAAAACAAAATTTCAATTTATTTTAATTTTATGTTTTAAAACTTGTTTTAACTTTTAATTAAATACTGTAAAAATAAAAAAAGTTTTTTTTTTTTTTTTTTTTTTTATAAATTTAAGAAATATATACTCCTTTTTAACTAGATTGTCTTGATTGCAACACATAAGTTTTTCAATTTATTTAACTAATTGTTTCTAATATTTTTGAGAATAAATATCTATTTTTTTTACAAATATTTTTTTAAAGTGAGAAAATACTTTACTAAAATAAGATGATTTTTTTTAGGCACAACCATATTCAGCTAATCCAGAAATTTTGGGTGAAATATGTGTTGGAAAAGGTTATGATGTTATTTACGACAAAATAAAAGAGTCCTGTATCTTTGAGTTTGAAGAATCAGAAGAACATCAACAAGAAAACCAAGATCAAGAAAACCAAAACCATCAACAAGAAAACTTTAATGTTAGTAAAGGTTTTGTTATTATTAGCTGTATTAATGAGGCTTCATTTTTTTTCGGAGAAGACTCAGAACTTAATACAACACATCGATTAAATGCAATTGGATTAAACGACAAAATAGACGCTAAGATTCTTCTAAACAAGAAAACTGATTTAAATAATTTGTCTATTAAATCAAAGTTATCATATCTTCGTGAAATTAGAACTCACAAGTTGTACATACCTGATACCAGCAAACTCAAAATAAGCAAAACCTTTATGGAAGCTGTTGCAACTAATGATTTTCCATCCTGTTATACAGCTAGCGATTCTAATGTTACAGAATTTTTTAGAAATTTTTTTGAGAGGTGGGGGCATTTTGTTGTGACATCAGTATATTTAGGAGGGTCCATTGAAATTAAGAAAATTTTTACAAACAAAGTTAAACAAGATTTAGTTGAAGCTCAACTAAAATGCATTTTGGACATACTGGAACATGGCTTTCAAAAAAGTTTAGACTGTGGTAAAATTTTAGATCCTAATCTATCTTTAACAGATATTGAACTTAATTGGATTGGCGGTTTGTCAACATGGCAAATTTCAAGCTTGGAAAATATTGAAACAATTGACACCTCTAATGCATTTAAATCTTGGAAAGCTTCTTTAACTTCAAAACCTTCTGTTTTAAAAACAAAAATGAAACTTCAATCTATCGCAGATTTTGTTTCTTCTATAGACAAACGAAAAGGTGAAACTTGTCAAATTGCTTTTGAGCATTTGCTTGGTATGTCAAAAACAAAGAGTTTTAAAAACACCACTCAAAGTAGTGTCAATATACCTGATACACATAACATTGCTGCAGAGAAAGCAGAACCTAACTGCATAAGTTGTTTCTCAGGTTATGGAAAAATAATTGTAATGAAAAGTTATCCTGAAATCAAGTTAATCAAGGAATTAAATGTTGGTGATAAGGTTTTATCATTTGAAACCAAAACTAAGAAATTTATATACTCCACAGTGTACATGTTTGCGCACAAGAATGAGACCAAAAAAATGAATTTTCTCAAAATAAGCTGCAAAAGCGGAAATTCTGTCACTCTTTCACCAAAACATCTTGTTTATACTGATCATTATAAAGTAAAACATGCAGATCAAATAAAAATTGGTGACGGATTTTGGACAACATGCGCCAATGATTCAAAGACAATGAATTTATGCAAAGTTGATGCAATTGAAATAACAGAATCAGGTACAAATTTTAGCCTGTTTTCATATATTGTTGTTGTATTTTATTAAGTTTTAAAAAATTATATTAAATTAAAACTTAAATTTGCACAGTGATTGACACATTTAATAAGCTTCAAAAACCTTTTAAATATAAAATGTGTATTGCAATGTTGAACCAAGATGATCCGACTTATAGTTTATTTCAAGAAGATCTGACCTATAGCTTATTTCAAGATGATATGATCTATAGCTTATTTCAATCAAAACTGATGATCTTGTCAAGTTTATTAAATACCTAGATATTGGTTAATTTTTATTTATTTATTATTATATAATTAATAGTTTGTTTGTTAATTTATTTACTTGTTTATTTACAATTAAAAATTAGTTAACTAATTTAAAATTAAAAATTAGTTAACTAATAATAGTTGTTAACTGAGAACAGCTGCAGAAAAGAAAGTTTTCCAAAATCAAACTTGTTCCACACATTTACATTAGAAGAAGTATATGATTAGGATCTTTAAATGATTCCCCCCCCCCCCAATCTTACTTTTTGATTTGATGCAAATAATATCTTCGCCTAGAAACCTTTGAGCACAATCTGTAACAGGCATAGTAGATTTAAACTTTAAAAATTTAGTTGATTTTATAAACTGTATATATCTGTACATTTCCTATGTTAGGGAACTGGTTTATGACAACTTTTTAATACTTGAGAAGTAACAGTATTTAAATGTTAGTTTTGTTTAAAGTTAAATATTTTTTATAAAAACTTATATAAAGTTCAAGTGGAATTTTTCTTTATTTAGATATGTACTTTTAAAATAACAAGTTAAAATTATAATATGCAAGTGACAAATTTATTTATAAAATTAAAATATATATTTTTTATTATGATTCATTACCAACAAGACTGCAAGCAACCACTATTAAGTTAGGAGTTATTAGAAAAAAAGGATCGAGTTAAAGAGCAAGGAAACGATTTACGGTAGACTTGAAAAGTTGTAGGGAGTATGAGTCAGGAAAACATGAAGATGGGAGAGAGTTCCAAAGTGTTGAAGTGCGGGAGGAAAAATTAGGTAAATTTAAATTTTTAGAGCATGCAGGGACAGATACACTAAAAGTATTGAGACTATGCTGAATGACAAGCCATGCGAGAATGAGTTTAAGTCATTGGAACTCGAGATAATGGCTCATTTGAGCAATGACCATGATAGTACTTGTAGAAAAGAGAAAGAGATGCAACTATACGATAATTGGAGAGATTCTAAAGTATGGCAGATAGAGTAGGTCCAACTGCATTTACAATGTGTTTTTGTCTAGTAGAGAAAGAGAATCATTAGAAAAACTAGCCCAAATATAACAATAGTATTCCATACAAGGGCGAATAAGAAGTTTGTAGAGGTAGAGAATGGAATCAGGAGTAAGATGATGGCGAGCATGATAAATAGACGCAACCTCAGCAGATGCTAACTTAGCAATTGATTGTACAATAATTCAAGAAGATTCAAAAAAGAGAACTCATTGACAGGGTTGTTATTCATCAATATAGGAATGTCAACAATATTGCAATAGTTGTTAGCAGTAAATAACTGAAATTTGTTGGAGTTGAAATTCATTGCAGCTAATAAATGTTTACATTTGATCTGAGCTTACAAGAAAAGTAAACACATTAACTCAGTTGTAGGCCTTTACCTTCAATGCCTTGTTTAATTATCCATATTCTGCTTGCTCTGTTAGCAGTAGTTAACCATCTTTAATGAAAAGCTTTAATAATTATTCAACTTCTAATTTTATTATTCGCTTTTTCAGATTATATTTTTAGCATATTACAATAATAAAATACCAAAAAGGTCGCTTGATAGAGATATCAAGGCAGTTGTACAACATTTTTCAGGCAAAATGTTATCAATCTTCTAACATATTTAAGTACATTTGAGTTAAAAAGTTCGCTCCCGAGTTCCTTGTTCGGCAAGTAATTTGCAGCAGTGGTTTTAAAAGCTTTCCTTTCATAACAAATTAATCTTTGACATCAGATCTATATGTGACTGAAAAAAAACTTCAACCTCTAATTAAAGGCACAAACAACTTTCGAAAAAGTAATACGGTGATATATAAAAAATAAGTCGATTTTGGTTCCTAAGAATGCTAATCCATCAAACTATCTTGAACAGAGATTTATCGAATCTTACTCAGCAATTGTGAAGGGAATATTGAGGAAAAGAAGCAAATGTGCAAATAGTGTTAAAAATTTCCAAGATTTACGGATTAATGTTACAAAGTGACATTACACAGTGGCGCGAAGTAAATTTGTGGAAATGATGGGGCGGGTACTTTACAAAAAAATTAAATTATTTGCACGTCGTAAAGTTAAGTAAAGGCTCAATTTATTTTTGTTGAAATAAAAACTAATTAAGTAAGCATTATTATAAAAAAGAAAGTTGTTTTTGAGAAAACTCAATTTAAAATCGTCCAAACTTAACTGATCATGGTGATAGTTGTTTTCAACAGGTTTATTGAATTATAGAGAATCACAAGTCGTTTCTAATTATTTTGAATCTTTGTGCTGATGTTCCTTATTTCCTATCATAATTCTTCCAACAGGTGTAACTTCAAAAATCAAAGCCCTTATTGATAGCGTTTTCATGAATTCATTTCCTTTTGACAATCTTCGGTAATCTTACAATTTCAATCTCTGATCACACGGTACAATTCATCTTTGCTCAAAGAAGTTGAGCAGCAACCATGTTAGTACATCATCTCGAGTTCCATCGACTAAAACTCACTTTCGTTTGACTCGTCATTCAACTAAGTCTCATTCGTTTACTGTATCTGTCCCTGCATGCTCTAAAATCATCTGAAATTCTATTTTATATTTTGAAATTTTCGGCTCTCGCACTTTTGGGTAAAATAATGGCCCTTTTGGGCCAAATTCCGAGGTTCCTGAGCACCAAACCCCCCAAATATACACCAGCTAACAAACCATTTTTTAAGGTGAGTTTCTTCTCATCCGTTTTTCTACGGGAAAGGGAAAAGGAACGGAAAAATATTTACGCGAGCATGCGCAGTTTTCTTACAAACAAATAAAAACTTTTATTACGCATGCTCCCATGATTATTTTTTCCGGATGAGTGGAAACTCGCCTTTAGTGAGTGCATTTTTTTGTTGTTACATTTAAGGTGTCTAAGCTTCTGATAAAAATAAGGTAAAAAAATTATGTGGCTTCTAGGAGTTAAATAACTTAATTATGTTGAAGTTGCGCTTGTATGCTGTTTAATTGCAATAAAATATAAAAAACTTTAGAATTTTAAAATGAGTTAGGACTAAGTTCAAATCCAACCGAATATCGCGAATAATTGACCAACTATTTATGCAATTGATGAACTAGCCGATATAGCAATTGAATGACCAACCGATATCGCGGTTGATGAACCAATTAATATGATTTTTTGAATTTTTTTTTTTATAAAACAATTATATTAAAAGGTTATATATTTTAAAATTTGTAATTGACTTTCATTTTTAGTTGGGTTTTACGCTCCTTTAACTATTAATGGAAACATTATTGTAGATGGCATTTTATCCAGCTGCTATGCTAACGTGATGGACGTCTCTTTACCCGGTTTAGGTAGACTTTCAGGCCAGGTTATTGCACATTTTGGTACGGCTCCTTTAAGAATAGCGTATTTATTTTTTCGAAAAAAATTTCAAACTAACGAAGAAATGCCGAAGTGTATAGTAACCCTTAACCAATTTGGGCAAAGAGCCAACTTAGTCTTCAAACCGTAGCTGGTGTAGTTTTATAAGTTTTTTTTTAAGATTTATATTTTTTTAAATAGTATAAATATAATAAATTATGTTATGAATAATTACGATAAGGGATCGTCCATAAATTACGCAACGTTAAATATATTTAAAAAACAGAACTAGGACATCTTAGAGTCTTTTATGCGGCTGCGAGGGAAACCATTATATCTTTTTTGTTTTGCTTATTAGTGAAATTTAACGCTGCGTAATTTATGGACGATTCCTAAATATTATTCGAACAATGAATAAAGATTATTAGGATTACATTTAAGTTTTATAAAGATATATTTCTTTATTTATATTATAATTTAGTTTATATATTTAGATTTTCATTCTAAAAGTTGTATCAATATCGATAGCGAGTTTACGAAGAGAAAATAAAAATGGATCTTATTGTTGATTTGACTTTTTATGTTTTTTTGTTGTTTTCTTTTTTGTTTTTTATTTTAATGAAAATTTTATTGAAAAAATCACAAATCACTGAAGAAAACACAATGTATATACATATATATATATATATATATATATATATATATATATATATATATATATATATATATATATATATATATATATATATATATATATATATATATATATATATATATATATATATATATATATATATATATATATATATTGATATTATCAATGTATATACATTGATATTGTCAATGTATATACATTAATATATTGGTATATATATATATAAAGTCAAAAATATAAATATAAAGCCAAAAAAGATTTGTAAGTTTTTGTATGATTTCTTAGTAAGATTTGGAGATACAAGAAGTGAAATTTTTTTTATAGGATTTATTAGTTGTAGTATGATTTTTTAGAGTTATGGGAAACTCTATATTTTTCTAATATATTGAAATCTTGTAAAACATCCTTGTAATAGTTAATTTTGCTTTTTTTTGTACATTAATTTTGTATACAAGCAGTATTTCAAAGTTGCGTAAGTAATATGCGGTTACATTCTCGAGGTGGCGAAAGGAACACTTGCCGCCCGGGACTAAGTGTTTCCCATACAGCAGTTGACAGGTGAGCTGTATAATATGGATCATTGTGAGTCTATTCCTATATCGACCATTTCTATACTTATTCTTTATATAGTTGTTTTATTTCAATAGTTTTTAGTGAGAGGTACAAAATCCATCTCTTGCGTATGTCTCCATCGTGACGTGCGCAATAAATTTCTTCCGCAGTTTTTATGTTTTTAGAAGTTTTAAGTATTTTTAAAAGCTCTTCTCTTTTCGTTTGTAGTATTATTTAATAAATAAAGCACTTAATAAAACAGCATAAAAGCTTTTTTAAAGTTTTTCTCTTATGCTCACTATAATTTATAGTATCTTTACATTTGTTATGAATGTAATATGCAAAGAACTTTAAAAATGTTTTTTTTTTTTTTTTTTTGTATTTAAAAAAATTAAAAGACTAAACGAAAATTTGCCGTTGCAATAATAAAATAAAAATAAACAAAAATTTGCCGTTGCAAGGGTTTGAATAACAACAATACAAGTCAGAAACGTTGCCAGCTAACAATTTCGGCCTTTAAGGTGTGTTGCACGGCAAATGTTTTAATAGTTTTAATTAACAAACAATAGACTAAAAAAAAAAATGCTAAAGATCAAAATTAATGAGATATTTAGAAATTCCGCGGCCGTCACAGCGTGATAACCGTCTTTTATTTTGTCTCAATATTTTAATATTAAAATATATATTAAAAAAATTTTTTTCGCTATTTAGCTCATAAGGGTGAAAGTATAAAAATATAAAACGTCACAGCACAACCAAAATTTTCTCATTATTTTTTAGTTTTTAGATCAACATCGCGATTCAACTAACATAGATGAACTGAATTATTAACTTGGCATTATATAAAAAGTTTAGACATTACTTTTGCAAGTTTTATAGCTGAATAACAATTTTTCAATTAAATTTCAAACAGGCGTACCTTTAACTAACTAGTGGTAAACGTCACAGCGTGACCAGACACATTTAGGTAATTATAAACCAGGTAATTGGACTGTTTTTAATAAATTTAAAACTTAGTAGAGAAGTATTAGACAAATATCTCAGCTAGCACACATACGTTGATAAAACGTTAGGCCAAACATGTTGAACGTTGTTGGCCTAACATCGACCACCAACGTTGTTTTTATATCATTCCGGTTACAAATGTGACTCGCCAACAACCAAAAAACAACGTTGGTTCAACGTTATACTTTAAGTCAGCATTGTTTAATGTTGTACGTTGATACAACGTTGTATTTAACGTTTGCATAAACATACAAACATAAAATATTATATTTTTATACGCATATAAAGTTGTATATATGTATATATACATGCATATTTTCGCCATTTTGATGATGGTTTTGTGGTTTATCCTCCACCAGCTAATTGTCTTGTGGAGACCACATTACCTCGGTCCGCAGAGACTTGTTTCGGCTCCTAAAGGAGCATCATAATCCGCTCTACGGACTAAGAATAAGGTGAGTTTGGGAAGAACAAAGATATGCTCGAGTGAAAGGCAGTAGTCGTGTTAGAAAGATAGCATAGAAAAAGCGGAGAGAATTACACACGATGTTAGAAGGTGCAATAGTGCTGTTAATTGAACCAACAAAGACATGAAGCTCCAAGTCTTTGTCTCCCAGTCTTTTTCAGATCAAATTTGATTGTTCGAACAGTTTTGAAATTTCATTTGGAAGTTGGATAATTGCATGCTCTGCTATGCTATCTTTTTAAAACCAAATTGATTAACATAGAGTAGGTTATTTTTGTCAAGGTGTTTATACATTCTGTTGCACATAATTCTTTCAAGAATTTTTAAAAATACAGAGAGCACAGAAATGGAACGATAATTAGTTATTTGGGATTGGTCACCTTCTTTATAAATAGGTGTAACTTTGGCAATTTTCAATTGTTCTAGAAAAATTCCTTGTTTAATTGAAGCATTGGAAACTTTGAAAATAATATCTTTTAGTTGCTTAAAGCAATATATAATCACGTTTATATCTATTTCGTCTGGTCCATATGATTTATTTTTATAAATAGATTTGAACATCTTTTCAAGTTCTTTAATTGATAAATCAGAGGATAATTCATCAGAGCATATGCACTTATCCAAGGGTAAAAAGAAATCACTAAACAAAGTTCTGGTGATAGAAATCTTATTTGATAGTTTAGGACCTATTTTAGTAAGTATAGCGTTTGGTTCAAATATACTAGTTTTTTCAATTTTAATCATTTGTGGCAGAAAACCAAAGCATGATTTTTGTTTTCCTATAATTTCTATCATTATTTCCCAAATGCGCTTACTGTTATACTTGAATTTGTTAAGTAATTCCGAGTAATAATTTTTTTGATCCTGTTTCTAAAAATGTGTCATTAAAACTTTTTACTTTATTGTCATTGTTGTAAAGAAAACAATTCATATTAAAATCCCCAAGCAAAATATTTTTTTTCTTTTCAGTATCGCCTTTTTTAATGATGTTTTGCAAAAGCATGCAAGGTTTTCACTCACGCCAGCAGGTGGTCGATAACAAAAAGTTTTTTGTTTGGTTGTTTTCAATTTCAATTGTTAAAACTTCTTTTTCGCTATCAGAAACGCTCAAATCGCCTCTAAAAACGAGCCTTAGTGTTTCGTGCGCATAAATAGACCTGTTTCCAGTGGAAACGCGTGGTATTTGCCGCAATGCATCCTGGATCTTCCTAGGAGGTAATTTAAGACATTGCTTTTATAGCGAATGCTCAGAAAAAAAAAAGTTTTGTAAATTGTTATAAAAACGTAAATACCAAATTAAAATGTTAGCTATTAGTAAAAAAAAGATTAATGAAGATTACTGAGCTGTTTTTGAATGCCGTAACTATCGGAGAAATGATGAAGAAAAGTAAAATTATCTAATTAAATTTAGCATTTTATTAAGAATTAGTTAGCTAAATTTGGCATTTTATTAAAAAAGTTTATTATATAGCATTATAACTATTGACTCATGTGAGAATGCTTTCACACATGTGAAAATAAAGAAGTTAGATTAAATGTTAAGGAAAGTTGTATAAAATGTTTTGGTTTTAAAACATTGTAGCAATGCATTGGTTTCATAAATAAATGAGCTATATATTTTCAAGAACTTTGCTAATCGACTAGACCCGTACAGAGAACATTTTTAGGGGATGGGGGTCGTTTGTGGATAAAAACGGCAAGAATACTAATTTTGTTGCTCGTGTAGGATCTACTAAAGTCTGCTTTAACCACTTAGCTGCAGGTTATTACAATACAGAATGCAATATACCACCTTTATACATGCAAGGATACAACATGACAAATGATAAAGTTAAACGTAAACCACCAAATATTAGAGAGCCACCGAAAAAAAAAAAAACTCAATACGCCATCCCATTTTGGCAGTACTATTTATTTCAATACAGCTTACAAGATATTCAGGGATATACAGATATACAAGTATATACAGGGACTACAGAAACTAATAATTTCCATAGTTATTGTGTTACTGATGCGAAAAGCAGTGCTCGGTGCAGGATGTTTCAAGAAGATAATCATTTACTTTTACGAAAAAAGCAAGATGATTGTTTTAGTTTATATAACCAACTTGATGTGGCAAATAAAACAATAACAAATCTTAATGAAGAAATTATTGGTTTAAAGGATAAAATTAAAAAGTCGCAAAGATTATCTTACTCTGAAATAAGTGAAAATAATACGTTATTGAAAAATATGACGGTTATACAAACAGGTTTAATGTATGATTGGTTATATAAGCGCTGTCAACATAAAGTTCCATTTCTGATAAACTATTGTGGCTCCATTTCAAAAAGCGGTCCAAGCAACAAATCAAGCAACATGAAAATGTTTGGTGCATTACAACAAATGAACGGTAAAGACCTTATGCTTTTGACTTTAATGAAGATTCGAATGGGCTGTAGCCATGAAGACTTGGCTTCTCGTTTCGGTCTTTCAAAAGCTACTATTTCTCGCACCTTAAGTACCTGGATTCCTTTTTTAGCACTCGAATTTAAAATTTTTATGCAGCCAGTTACTCGGGAGCAAAATAAAACTTGTTATCCAGAATGTTTTAGGTCTTTTGGAGATAATGTGGTGTCGATATTAGACTGCACAGAAGGTCAATGTGAGCGACCAAGTATTGCTAAAGCACAAGCCCAAGCATATTCGAGTTACAAAAATTGAAACACTTGGAAAAAAGTTATCGGCATAGCACCTTCCGGAATGATTAATTATATTTCTCAAGCATACGGTGGTTCGTCTTAAGACCGATATATTGTCGAAACATCAGGCTATCTAGACACATTAAATGAAGGAGATGTTGTAATGGTGGATAAAGGATTCAATATCAGTGATCTATTAATTGCCAGAAAAGTTAAATTAGAAATACCACCATATCTTAAAAACAAAGGGAAGTTTACAAGTACGTTAACTTCTAAAACTGCCCTGATAGCCCGAGCAAGAATTCACGTAGAGCGCGCAATTGCTCGTGTAAAATACTTTCGATTGCTGCAAACACCTTTACCACTGAGTATGATTGATATGCTAGACCATATCTTTATTATAGTTGTAGCTATAACTAATTTAGCACCTCCATTAGTTAATTGCAGGAGTCATGACAATATTTAAAATACAAGACAATTTTAAAACATTAGAATATTTCTTGTTAAACCCATTAAAATAAATTTAATAAACAAAAATAGCCATTATTTAATTTGCTAATGTTAAATGTTACGATATAAAAAAATCATCATCAATTAAATCATTTATACAAATTTTCAATAAAGTTTCATTTAAAACAGACTCAACTGTCTGAGAAATCACTTCATTTAAGGCAATATTATAGTTTTGTAAAAATATTCAATTTTTTGAACACAACTTTGCCAAAAATCACTTGAAAAAGGAACACGATATCTAAATAAGTCTTTAGAAGTTTCGACAACAAAACCACAATATGAAAAACCTGTTGAGGCCATTTGACAGTACATTTGACTATAATAAGAATGTTGACGATCAAGAACAATTGTGTTATTTTCAAAAATTAAACAGGTACCTTTGATAGTGGTAAATTCTGAAATAGTTAAACCTCTATGAGTCCAAGGACATTTAACCTCTACACATCCAGTGCCACAACAATCACAATGAACAAGGGAGTCTGGTGATGCACAAACTATTGGTAAATCTTAATTTACAAATAAACCACATTCAGTCACTTTCATAAATCTATGTTTTTTTTTGCTTTCTGCTTTCTGGTTAGGTGTTCTAAAAAAGATTGCTTCCCCATGCCAAACCCTCAAATGATGTAGCAGCACTTCCTTGTAGCAGCAGGCTATAAGATAGTTGATGTAGCAGCACTCCGTTGCGAGTCAGGCTATGAGATAGTCGATGTAGCAAAACCCCATGGCAAAAATATAATTATTTTAGGCCGTATAACTGTAGCTTTACCCAATAACCCATCCATAAGTTAATAATATGGGGTCTACAATTAATTGTGATAAAGTTTTCCTTTTTTTTAACTTGTCATTTTCAAACTCATTTTCATCTTCCTGGGCACTTTGCACTTGAACTTGTAAGTTTAAGCAGTAAGCATATTAGGCATTCTTTGCTAAAATTGCTTTATTTCCGGTTTGATATACAAGTCTATCTGATAAAAATTTATGCAATTCAGATATATTCCACTTTAAAAAGTCGTCTTCAGTCATAGAGTCCGTCAATGGTTTAGAAGTTTTTTTTGCTGTTAAATCTACAGCAACGCTTTTATCACAAACACATTTTCATCAACTTTATTTTCTTTCAAATCTTTCAAATCATCACAAACAAACACATTTTCATCAACTTTATTTTCTTTCAAATCTTTCAAATCATTTAGCAAAGACATTACTTAAAAATAATTTACAGCCAAAAGCTTATAATAAAAATGTAAATAATCAGAATCGCCCTGTTAGCAATACCAGAATGCAATGCTGTAAATTTATTGTTTATTTATTTGTCTCTCCAAAGAAATAATATTAAAATGCGAAATTTAAAATTATCTTTTGATGTAAACCACGTTTCTGTTAAACATATTATATTTAAAAAGTTTTTCGTTTCTTCTAGAAGAATTAAAAGTTTTTCAAAGTTACTATTTAGACTTCTTATATTGAGGTGGAGAATTCTAATTTGATTTGAATTTTGTCAATAACATTCTTAAAAAGATACTCTTCTAGTTCGCTTACAAAAATATGCGAGCAATCTGAAACCATCTATACCATCAATTCGTTATTAACCCGTCGTTGATTCAATGTGTATAAACCACTGATCTCAAAATATAACTGGATAGCGTATAGGGCAAAGTGCCCTAATAATGGCCGGGTCTTATTAAGAGCCAAATTTGGGTCCACTTTTATTGCATTTATTTATTTGGCGGAACATTTATCTAGTTGTTGATTATACTTTTCTGTTTCTTTAATATATCTATGTTTTAATCTAACTTTTATAAATGTTTTTTTCAGTCTTGATTTTAAGGAAATCTTATTTTTCTCAACGTTAGTTCAAGTGAATATTTTATGCCGTAAATAGTCATTTTTGGTTTTTTCATGCAACTTTAAGACACATTTAACGCAATATTCCTTCAGTAACGGCTTTTTGGTTTATTTTGATCTGTTGTGTACTTTAATATTACTATGTAAACTGTTTTGTTTGTCAATATACGATAGGCAGAAGCATCAATATAAACCTAAACTCCCAGATTTCAAATAGGTCTCAATAATAGCCACTCATTTGACCAAATAAGAGCCACGGCTTTTATTTGTAATATCGTATTATTATGTGGCTATTATTAAGACAATAGTTGAATTTATTGTGTATATAGTTTAAACATAAATTGTGTCACAATAAATTAAACTTATATGCCCTTATTATAAGTCCTAGTAACTTATATGTCCTAATTATATCCTTATTATAGTTTTGCTTAATGTTTATACATGGTAGAGTAAATACTGATTATAGTTAATATAAGGCTTATATTAACTATATCCAGTATTTACTTTACATGTATAAATACTAAGAATAACTAGTATTTACTTTACAGTATTTATTATAGCGGTTTATTATGTTTGTAAGTATGTAATTTTATTTTTATGTTTGTAAATATTTAAAGTAATAGTTTATATATGTATTTTATAATTTATATAATACATATAAACAAAAATTATTATTATTAATATTTACTAGCTACATAACAATTTGAAATATATATATTTTGTATATTTAATTTAATGCTCACTAAGTATACCATTATATTGTATTCTTGTGTTATTTCTGTTACATTGATGTACAGATATGTATGATAACCATACTTTATGCTTGTATACGTATTTGTTTGTGGTATCTGTATATGTTATGATAATATATTTACATTAGATTTTTGTAAGGTCAACTGTTGGAGTCAGTATACCTTATCTTTTAGTTAATTTGAGTAATTATGGGAAAAACCACGAAAATCACAAAAAAGAATAACAAGATTAAAAAGAAATTTGCCTCTAGTTTTAATTCAAAGTTGAACCAGAAAGTGACAAATGTAAAGAGATTTCAGTGGTCCAACAGCGACATGAAAAATGCAATTGCAGCTGTTCAAAACAGTTTAATGTCGCAACGAGAAGCTGCAACACAATTTAATATTCCGCGGTCAACCCTTGGTAAATATCTTAAAGGAGATTCAGTTCTTGGTGTCAAACCTGGACCTAGTCCAGTATTATCAATGAATTTAGAGCTAAAGCTAGTTGAATATGCTGCAACAAGAGCTGCACTTGGATTTGGATTTGGAAAAAGACAATTTAAAAAATATGCTTCAGATTTAGCCATAAAGCACAATTTAAAGTTTAAGCATTCAACTCCTTCAGAAAAATGGTGGCGCTCATTTAATCAGCGACATAAAAATTTAGTTTTGCGAAAGCCTGAAGGTACTTCATCAGTTCGTCATCAATGCATGTCTATACCAAAAGTAGCTAAATATTTCTATTCACTGCATGAAGTTTTGAGGGACACTCATGCCCTTTTAAAGCCTTCATTAATTTGGAATATGGATGAGTCTGGGCTGCAGATGGATTTTAAACCTCCAAAAATAATTGCAAATAGAGGTACAAAACATCTTCAATCTCGCACATCTGGAAAACGTGAAACCATAACCATTATTGCTGCTGTAAATGCTGCAGGTGGTTCAGTTCCTCCACATTTGATAGCAAAAAATAAAACGGCTAGATCTCTTCATTCTTTTAATACTGCAGATGCACCATCAGGTTCAAATTAGAGTTTTAGCGAGACAGGTTGGACAAAGCAAGGAATTGCATTTCTTTGGTTCACTAATACTTTCTTGCCTAATATAGGTAGAGATAGGCCACAGATTCTCATAGTAGATGGTCATGATTCACATAACTTTGTTGAGTTATTATCTGTTGCAATCGAAAATAACATACATATTGAGGAAATGCCAGCACATTGTTCGCATTGGCTTCAGCCTCTAGATCGCACAGTGTTTGGTCCAATTAAAACGTATTATAATCAAACATGTCATGAATTAATGAATGAATATCCTGGAGTTACTATTAACAAGTTAACTTTTTGTGGGCTTTTTAGGAAAGCCTGGGATCAAGCTCTCACAGCTGATAATATTATTTCAGGGTTTCGATCATGTGGTATTCATCCATACAATCCGTCTGCTGTTCCAAGCACAGCTTACTTGCCTAATTCTGTCTATTCGTTACAACAGCTACTTGACTCAAATGATTTGCTTGAATCAAGTCTGCATCCAATTAAAACTGACACTAAAATAACAAGATCAGAATATGCAATAGAAGAGGAAGTTGATTTTGAAGTAGAATTGGTTAATAAACCTGGAAATATTTCTGAATGTAAAATAGATAATAGTTTGATAAACCTTGACAATAATTCTTTGATATGGGATACCCATTTGACTCATGAGCAGTTTACAACTTTTAATTTCTGTATTCAAAATGGCTACAACATCCCAGATCCTTTGTATAAATTATATAAAGAATTCAAACTGAAACAGATTTCATGTACAAATACCATTTTAGAAATAGATGACTCTGCTCCGATGCCAAATGAATCCATAGTTACTATTCCATTTCTAAGTGAAACCATTGTTCAGCAAATTCCTGTGCCAAATGAAACAAATGGGCAATCTA